AAGTATCGAATCAGGATACGCAATGCTGAGTGCCTATTTACATTCAACTTTGGAATCAACATTTATTATTTTTTGTGTCATAATCGCATCATATTACAAGATGCTTTAATTTACAGTATTTACATATATCTTGACAGCTATTTAACATGTTATGAAATGGGGATGCGTCTCATGTGGTGTATAGTCTTTTTCCTGTCCTTCTTGGCATTTCATTGACAAAAGACCTGTAAATAGAGAGATAGAAGAAAAGAAATAATTAACTCATAAAGAGGGAGCAGTTTTATGAATCTCATGTTTACCTTGAAAATTGATATTGATAATTATATTTTGATTTTGTGGTTCTAAAATATGTGATTTATTTTAATACTTGTTGTTAGCAATAGATGCTATGTGTAAGTAAAGAAAATAAGAAATGCAAATCAAAGCTATCACAAAACGAGCCTCGACTGGCTGGAACAGAAGCTTTGACGCCTATTTAGGACAAATTGGTAGTGAGCTATTGATGAAGAAACAACGATAATGAAGGCCTCAAAGATGTCCTTTTGCTGTTAATAATGAGCAACAAATGAAGAAAAATAAAAGAACAATGAAAGAATAAGCAAATAATGTGTAGAACAATTATTTAAGGGGTTTTATAAGAAGAGCAGAGAATGTTTTATTGTATTCAATATGTTGTATCTTGTTTACAAAATGACAAGGGTCTTCCTTTATATAGGAGGGGGGAACCCCAACATTGGTGCACGTTATAATGACGTGGAAATGCTATTAGTACAGCTGTATAATAGTTTAGTACGGGTTAATACTATTTCTCGCAGCTCTGTCAGTCTTCATCGCGTGCCTCGGGATTTTCCCGCCTTTTCATGACGGTCGTCATTTTCATATTGCTCGAGGTACGCCATGATGAGTCTTCGATAGGCCTGCCGAGGCGAGTGCTTCGAGGACGAGCCTTGGGCTGTGCTTCGTCTCCATCGAGGCCGGTCTTGAAATGCCATAGAAGCCTTAAAACGGCCTTCCCTGATTTTGACCGTATACAGATAGTCCCGCATTTCTTAGAATGAAATGATAAAAACGATCTTGACCTCGATTTTCTCGAAGCTCCTGTGATGACATCACGTTTGTGGCGTAGGCGCTCGAAACGTCCCGTCGGTTCATTCCCCCAGGAGCATTGAATGACCGCCGGTCCCATTTCCCCAAAAACATTAAATGCGCTCAGTTTCATCGTTATTTCTCTATAAATTAGGGGATTTCTGGAACCAAAGCTTCACTCATTTCTTCTTCAACAATCTTTTAGTCTTTCCCTTCTCTGTATCCTCTTTTGATTTTAATATTTTATGGTTAAAACAGTGACCACAAGGTCATAAGGAGCAAGCTTATCAAGTTATGCCATGGCTCTCTTTTTCAAAGCCTTTCCCCTCTAAAGTGGAATTATGTGAGTTGTGATGTTGTTGTGCTCGAATTTGATGAGAGGAAGGCATTAAATTATTCCTGTATCAGAAGATATGTGGACTGTAAACTGTTGCGCATCTCTCTTAACTTCAACCTGGTGTAACGCTTCATTCCTTTTGTTTTCAATGGAGTGAGTGGCACTATCTACTAACGTTGCATCCCACGCCGGTGAAATGTCTCAATAAGTGGCCTCACATAGTAGTGCTGACTGAGACCCATACTCGCCAAGCTTTTGACCAGGCCACAATTTTTCTTTGCTTGTCAAAAGCTTTTTGCTCTTTGATAGGCTATAGCCTTTTCTTCATCTATCGCTGTTTCGTAGGAGGTTCTCGAAGACAACGCTCTAAAGATCGAAGAAGTCCCGAGGAAAAGGTTCTCGAGGGATGTTGCTCTTGAGGACATTCCCATCGAAAGTAGATTGGCCTTTTGGCTGTTATTTTTTGCTTTCTTCGTTTCTGTGTAAGGGCCCCTCGTGGGCTTTGTACATCTTTTATTAATATAAGAAATCCTTTATTTTGCTTCGATTTGTGTAAAATCCAAGTGTATGACTCTAACGATAGTCGAATACTGGATCCGAGCATAATAAACCTTAGATTTTTTAATTGATCAAATATGATGCTTACTAAATCCTTTGTTGTCCCTCGGACTGAGCTTGGGTTGATTTGATGCGAACTTAGGTCACGGGACTTCTGAGTCCGTGTTGAGTGGGAGCTGGGTCTCGATTTTTGAAATAAAGCTAGCCTTTTAGGCTTCGTTGATAGTCTTTGAGTTAGAATATTTCTCGAAATCAAGTAGCCTTTAGATTCAGCAACCGGGTGACGTTCGCTCGATCATCTGAAAATAAGATAGGCTTTAGACTTTTACAGATAGTCCTTGAGTAGAGCTTGCTCGAACTCGGGTAGCCCCTTAATTGAGTAAAATTTGTTGTGACTCGAAATTAAAGATAGACCCTAAGATTGTATAGATTGGTCCCGCAGTGAGAACTGGCCTCGAATCGGGAGCCCTTGTGCTCAATAGTCGAGTGGCGTTTCACTCGAACCCAAAATAAAGGTAGCCCGAGGCTTTATTAATAGTCCCCGAGTGAGAAACTGACACGAACTCGGGTAGCCCTTTGGGGGCTTAATAGTCGAGCGAGTATGTTTGCGCGAACTGTCGAAAAATAGCAGTGGAGCCCATGAGGTTTTACTTAATAGTCCCCGAGCGGAGAAACTGGCTCGACTCGTGGTAGCCCTTGGGCATTAAAGCGACGCGAGTCTGTTTGCTTCAACTCAAATAGAGATACCCTGAGGCTTTAATTAATAGTTCCGAGTGAGAACTGGCTCGAACTCGGGCAGCCCTTGGGTAATAGTTGATGAGGTGTCTGCTTCGAACCCGAACTCGTAAGATTGTTCTCAAATAACTTCTGACAATTTGATTCCTGATGCCTGTAGGCGCCTGACGTCACATCATGACAAAGTGGTGGAGTGGTGAAGAGTGGTTGTTTGTACGATTTCCAAAATCATTAATTATAGACGGCCAACAGTACGGGCCTTCGTGCTTCCTCAGCACGTTTAAGCGATCTTTATAAATAGACAAATTCAAACCTTGCAGATATTACTCTTTTAGTGCTTCTAGTATTTCGTTTAACCCTTTTTCAATTTCCTCGACCTCTCCCTTCTCTTGTATAACAACATTTTCCATCTTCTCGGATCTTTCGCATTAGAGATTGGCTAAAACTTTCTAAAACTGTCTTAAAAAGAAAAAACTTCATCATCTTCCCGAAGTAATCAAAGGTAAAATGGTAGTTCCGCCCTTAGTATCGAGGAGTTGTACCCGGGCCTTTGTATACATCTTTGATTTCTAGGTCGGAAACTCTTCCTCTGTTCCGGGGACGATGCGAACCCATGTCTGATACATCAGTCTTATAATGAAATGAGGAAAGTTGAAGGCCGACTGCCATTGCGGGGGAGGTGGGTGCAAGGTAGAGATTCCATTCACGTGAAGAAGACATAACCAAGACACCAGCCGGCTTTTTCCCAGTGTAAACAGATATCCTTTCACCTAGGCCAGTAGGAGCCTCTTCGCCACCGATAGACCAGTGATCCTTCGGATTTCGCAGACAATGATCGGGT